ACTGCATTGAAACATGTATCTCTTTGGATTGGAAATTATTTGCACAATCATATTGATAGTATGATTAGCCTTAAACTTAAAAGATTATATTGTTCAAAATTATTTGTTATATATTTGTTTAAATTTTTCCCTCTTTTAACAACCGGGATCTAGAGGGATGAGAAAAGACCAGAGAATGGCCAAAATTATTGGGGCAGCTATTGCTGCCAGCTTAGGGCCTGTGTCAGGAAAAGGAAATCTTACTCATAAACAATACCACCCAAATGTAATAAAGGAGGTCAGAATTGCTTCCACTGTGGAAAGCTGGGCCACTTCAGTAGACAGTGTCACAGACGAGAGCCACAGATAGGCAAGGGAGTAGAGGAAAAGCTCCCACTCACTTGCTTTAAGTGTGGATCTGAAGGACACATGGCCAACGGTGGCTCACATCAGGTCCTCATGGCTGACAGGACTGACAGGCCCCAGCTCCCAGCTGGAAACAAAGGAGGGCACTTCAACGATTCAGATCCTCCCAGAAGAGCCATGGTGAGCATTAACATTACTGGTAAGCATATTCATTTTCTCCTGGACACAAGAGCCTATTATTTGGTCCTAAAAGCCTTTTGAGGTCCTAACTCTTCTATTTCTTAGTTTGACAGAAAACCTCATAAGCAGTTCCTTACTTCACCTCTGCCTTGCCTGTGGACTTCCGAGCTGTAAAACAACCCAGTGGTAGTTGGAATTTGGTCCAGGACTTAAGAACAATAAATGACATAATTGAGCCTCTCCATCTTGTGGTTCCTAACCTTTATACTATAATAGACAAAGTGCTAGTCAATAAGCCTTTTAAGGACTACCTTCCCTCTGTAACTTGATTTGTGCCACTGTTAGAACCTCTACTTAAGAATATTATTGCTTTTTTGACTCATGTACCTTTAACTTGTTAAATTGGTGTCTTACAGGCTGTAAAAGTTCCATGATACATGAACATGTATAGCTAAGCACAATTGGTAACAGTGCATCTATATTCCAAAATCAATCTCAATGGTCTACGTGTTTCCTATTGCCAAAGGGGACCTATAGAGTAGTGAGAGAAGATCTTCACCTTGAAACCTACAGTGTCCCTTTTCAGCAGGAAGTAGCTAAGAGAATATGCCATCCCCTTTTCCTTATGAATCAGGGTGAAATCTCTCTCAGGGAGGAGTGATAGGGAATGGCAAAGGAGATTAATCAGAACTGGTTTTGACAAGCACTGTGGCAACGGGACAATTAAAACAGACTTTCAAGGAGAAAAAAAAAGAGGAATGAACTAGGGGGCTGTAGAGAAAATAGTGAAACAATGAATGAATGGAAATCCAAAATCTCTGTAAATGTTCATTAAAATTAATAAAATAAAAAAAGTCTCTGAATATATCAGACTCAAAAGGGCAAATATTGCATAAGACCACAGTTAAAAAATTAGGACGGGCACAGGGGCGAGGGAGGGTGGGTAAAGAAAAGGCAGGTAATGGACACAACATGTGAATAGGTGAAGAGAAGGACTGTCTGAAAGGAATGGATGACTGGCCATTCTATGTATGACACTTAACAATTTCATACAAGATATGTATTACAAAGGGAATTGGGGGAGGGGAAAGGAAAAAATGTGTATCAATGAATGAATTCAAGTCCATCCTTTCTGTAAGCTTTCACTAAAACACAATGTAAAGTGAGGAAATCTTCAATTATTTTTTAAAAAATCTTTAATTTTAGGTGAGCTCTGGTGGTTAGTGGCAAGAAGCTGCACTGCAATCCCAGAGGTGCATGGTTCAAATCCACCAGATGCTCTGCCGCGGAAGGAGGGACAATCTCCTCCTGTACCAGTCAGATCTGATTTGACAGTACACACAAAAAGTAATTTTAAAAAAATTTAAAAATCTTTAATTTTGAAAGAAAATAAGTGTCTATCTTGCTTTTTCTTGAAAGTTGAAAGTAAACTGTAAAATAAGGTTCTATCATGTTAATTCAATGTCCTTATGGACAAGCATTGTGAAATTTTATTTATAACATTCCATACCTTTAACTGACAAACTCCATCCCACACACATACTGACAGATATATAGCTCCATAGTAAAAAGTATAAAGGTAAACACATATATGATATTATTTCTATGACTACATGGTTCAAATCCACCATCTGCTCCATGGGTGAAGGATGGACAGTCTCCTCTGTGCAATTTACTGCCTCTGAGAACTCGACGGAGGGTCAGCTATTGGTCGGTTCCAACTTGATGGTACACAACATATTATGCAAAGGGGTTCTGGTGGCACATATGTGTTGTGTTGGGCTGCTAACTGCAAATTTGACATTTCAAATACATTTACTACTTTACAAGAGAAAGACAAGGCTTTAAGTTCTTGTTTCTTTTTTTCCTTGTTGTGTGCCATTGAGTTGGATCTGACTGGCACGGGAGGAGACTGCCCATCCTTCTCCATTGGACCATCTAGTGGATTAAAATGGTGTGCCTTTGGGATTGCAGTGCAGCTTCTTGCTAAGGCTTTAAATCTTTTCAGATTTAAAACATTAGAAACTCAATGGAGGTTTGCCATGACTTGGAATTAACTTCATAGCAGTGCATAAGACGTATTAGGCATATATTAAAAAAGAAGTGTTCTTTAATTCTTTATTTAACAAAATAGGGCTTTTTGCATAAAGCATCATATTTTCACTTACTTATGCATATAATTCCCCATGTTAATACACAGATCCCAAGGTATGTCCCCGCACCCCAAGCACTTTATTAAATAATAAAGTCAAATACACTAATTCATCTAGCTTATAGGGCAAGGTTCAGATCTGTTGCTCCCAGGGTCGCTCTGAGTCAGAGTTGACTCAGTGGCTTCTAACAACAATAACAACATTAAGCTTATTTAAGAATTAGAGAAAACAGAGTTTCTATGAAAATGACAATGGAAGTGTAAAATTCTTTCCAGTCAACACATATTACAAGATGTAGGGTCATTCTATTTTTAACCTTTCCATTGCCTTAGCAAACAAAGAAAAGGAAAGTTACTTAATAGGCAAACATTCTCAAATTTTCAGATATTAAAAATTATCTATCTGAATAAACAGACATGTACAAACTACCCATTTAAAAATTTGCCAAATACAAAAGGAAGTCAAGTTTTTCTTTCACTTTTGATCCCCAGCCCCATAATTTATCCTTGAGGTAATTATTAACCAGTTTACCACCTGTTATAAAGTAACTTAAAATCGTATACATCTGAAACAATAATTACAAAAAACATATACTATGCCCTGAAGCTTTCTAAAATTCTAGCATTTGCTATCTAATTTTTACTGCAATTTTGGCTTTTCAACCCACAGGAGCAGGGAACAGAATCAGGTCAGCCACAATTAAAAAAAAAAAGGAAAAAGAGGCTAATTTGCAAGCCTGAGATGACAGATAAATAATTTGACCATCACGAATTCAGTGAAATCTGTGGGAAAATTTGTGAAACTCTTGAATACAACTTTTAAAAAAAATTCTTCTTTATGACAATGTAGCAATTATTAGATTAAAAAATATCCATATAATCAGCTTTCAAATCAACACACAATCCATTCTTTTGGTACATATTGAAATAAATTCTTGTGTTAAGCAGACTCACCTCATATGGGCCTCCTCAGGACCAAATGTTACCATGTGTCACTCTTGAGTTATCACTTCTAGTAAGAAATGGTTGTTATTTCTACAAAGTGAACATGCTGATTGAAAGGTGCATTTTATGTAAAGTACGACAGTTAAGGTTGAATGTTAAGGTTATGTGTCACCTTGGCTGAGCCACTATCAAGTTTGGCAGTTACGATGTAGCCATTCTTGGTCATCTGTATTCCATGATGAATTCTGTTTTGCAAAATCAGTGGATAGAAAGTTTCCTCAAGTGTGTGGCCTTTAACATATATGTTGTTATGCGCCATTGAGTCGTCTGTGAGTCATAACGACCCTATGTACGATAGTCTGAACCCTGCTCTATCCTGAGCCAGTCTCACCGTCTCTGACATACCCACACCCATAACCCCAGTTACTGTGTCAATCAATTCTTCTCATCGGGGTCTTCCTCTCCTGTGCTGTTTCTACACCCTCCCAGGCACAATGTCCTTCTCCAGGATCTGGTCCCTCTTGGCCACGCGCCCAAAGTATGTGAGATGGCATTTAAAGATCTTTTCCTCCAAAGAACAGCTTGGTTTCACCCTCTCCAAGACAGATTTTTGTTTGTTCTCTTTGTGGTTCACAGTATTTTCAAGACTCTTCTCCAGCACCACAACTCAAAAGCATTGATTCTTCTTCTGTTATCCTTAGTCACTGTCCAGCTTTCTGATGCATAACAAGTTACTGCTAAGACTATGGCCTGAATCAGGTGCACGTTAGTCTCTAGACTATCACTGCTCTTTAGTTCTTTGGAGAGGTACTGACAGCAGATTTCCCTAATGCAATTCGTATTCTGACTTCTTAACAGCTGGTTCCAAAATATCTATAGTTACATATCTATACATTCTGGCAAAGCTGATTTTTTTGCTCAATCTAGATCCTATATCTGGCTTGTTATTATCCAAACTTCAGTTCTTTGGACTTAATTCAGAGGCCTACTATATCGCCTATTGATCTAAAATTGCCAGCCTGCCAAATCTTGAATCACAAGATGCTTCCACCTGACATCTGACCCATGGAAGAAATGAGCCATTTCTTTGACATAAATCTCTCTATACATATAAGCTTCACTGGCTTTGCTTTTCCAGAGAACCCAGCATAAGGAAGTTAATAAAAAGACAAAAAGTTGATTTGGTCTAGGTAAAATGGTTTTTATTTCAATGGCAATAGTTTGCAGAACTGTCTCTTTTCCCTTGTAATAGTGAATATATATCTTAAGTAACAACTCATGACGTGTGTTAAAACAGACACACTAGACCATACAAGGCAAAAGAAGACATGTTACTAATATGAACAAATATATAAGAAATTACTAAGAAAGCAAGGCTTTAGAACATGAGTTCTTCACATTCTGCATAGAACTTCCAATGCTTATCCATTATATGGCATGGTAGAAATTCTTGATCACTGATTAATAGTATTTCATTTATTTGTAGGTAATGTAGGTAACTTTGTATGGGCTCTTTGAGTGTTCCTGTAAAAAGAAACATCACTAAATTAAAACTTGTTTTTTTAAATGAAAGGTTTAAATAATTAAAAATTATATAATCAACTGTATATGAGAACATAGGTTTACTGACCAAGACAGTCTTCGCCCACTGCCTTTTTGAAGTCAGAGACTAAGTTATAAACCATCTTTGGTTGGTCTTGGGATAGAGAGGGCTCTTTGTGATCTGAAAAACAAAACATAAACAAGGCAGATTTGACAAAGGTGCCAAGACCACTTAGTGAGAGAAGGAGAAGGGAGAGAAAATTTTTTTTTAATAAATGGTGCTGGAAAACTTAGAGTTCAGCATTTAGAAGTATGAGATAGGATATCATACACAAAATTAAAAAACAGATTAAGGATCTAAATGTGAAAACTAAAATAAAAATTCTTAGAAGAAAAGGCAGGCATATGACAATGAAAAAACACAAACGTAACTAAACACAAAATAGACAACTTTACCTTATTAAAAAAATCATCAGATTTTAATCAACAACATGAAGAGACAATGTACAGATTGGGAAAGAATATTTGGGAACTGTTTTTCTGGTAAGAATTCAGTATCTGAAATATATTAAAACAAATCCATTTAAAGGCCATGAACAGTTCACCACAGAGATGATTCAAATGACCAACAGGCACAAGGAGACACTCCATGTCACTAGCCATTGCTTTGAAGATTCCTATTCACAGTGAGTGCAGCTGCAGCACTAGACTGACTCATATGGGTAACTTTGACCACAGAAGCACTGTCAAGTCTTTTTTCTACAGGACCAGCCTCTCAGTTAACAGCTGAGTGTTTAATTGTTGCTCCAATGTTGTTATTGTTATGTGCTGCTGAGTTGACTATAACTCAAATGACCCTATGAACAATGGCTCTGAATCTTGTCCTATCCTGAGCCAGCCTCATTATCTCTAACCCACTCAACCCCATTGCCACAGTCACTGTGTGAATCCATTTCATCCAGGGTCGTCTTCTCCTGTACAACCCTCCACCATTCCACACATAATGTCCTTCTCCAAGGACTGGTCCCTCCTGGCAACATGCCCAAAGTATGTCAACATCGGCCAGAGCTTCAGAATCCTTGCCTCCAAGGAGCAACCTTGTTTCACTCTCTCCAAGAAGGTTGCTCCGATAGGAAAACACAAATAAAAATTATAGTGAGATACCACTTCATCCCCATAAGAATAACAATCATGAAAATAATGAAAAACAAAGAGGTGCTGGCCAGGATGTGGAGAAATAGGAACTCTCATCCACTACTGAAGGGAATACAAAATGCCACAGCTATCATGGAGAACATTTTGGCTGTTGTTGAAAAGGTAAACCATGGAACTAACATACTGGCTCTTGTCCAGTCCATGCTGACACATCCAGTGACCTTATTATATACAACTGCCCCAAAATCCCATGACATTCTCACAATCTTCACTGTACCAAGATGCACTGCTGTAGTTACTGTGTCAATCAGGGGACTTCTGGTGATCTAATAGATGGGGAGTTCCACTATCAACACAAACACAGGAAGTTAAATCCAAGCTGCTCCATTTGTGTGAAAATCTGCTAGAGGATCAGTTATGAGTTGATTCCTGCTCAAAGACAGTAAGAGAGTGATTGCTAATCTATTTTCCTCTCCATTGCTGGACCTCTACTGTTCCAAGCATGATATCCTTCCTTTTCCAAAGATTTGTACATCTTAACATCTCCAAAGCATGTGAGATTAAGAAACCCAATTCCTGACTCTAAGAGCACCCTGGCTGCAGTTTCTCCTCATCGTCTCTGATATACTTGAATCCACTGCTGCAGTCACTGTGTCAATACTCACATTGAGGGTCTTCCTCTCTTTTGCGGACCCCCAAACACACCTTTGTCATAAAAATGACATATTTAACAATGAATGAATGGAAATCCAAAGTCTCTGTAAATTTTCATTAAAATTAGTAAGAACAATAATAAAAGAAAAAGAAAGACATTTGGTTTATTACATTTAAAGAAATCTTTTCTTGTAGAGTTGCTTAATGTAGTATCACCTTTAGATAATTTGATTTCTTGACTGTTATTCATGGGCATTGAATGAAATCTTAGACAACTTCAATCCTTCATTTTTTATCATAATGGTTTTTATGGGCCCAGTAATTTCAATTTTGTTCAAGTGTAACGTAGGTAAAAGGAAACAAACATGATGCACATCTTTCCCAATTTTAGAGCACCACTTTGTTCTAACAACTGCCCTTTAAACTATGTACAGGTTCTACATGAACAGTTAAGTGTTCTGGAATTCTTATTCTTTCAATGTTACCCACAATTTGTCATGAACTGCACACTCAGAGACCCTTGTGTCATTGATAAAAAGGAGCTCTGGTGACCCAGTGGTTAGGAGCTACACTGCCAATGCTAAGGCACGAGGTTTGAATCCACTAGCTACTCCAAGTGATAAAGATGGGCAGTTGTCTCTTGAGAGATTTAATGCCTTTGAAAACCCACAGGAAGGTCAGCTATATTCCAGACCGACATTAACAATAGCAACAACAAAATGCCCTCTAAATGCATCCTGTTTTTTACATAAGAGTACCTGACCCATCCTCACTACAACACATCCTTGGAAATACTGAATATTACCAATTTTTAAAAAGAGAATGCTATCATTTTTTTTTTAAAGTTTTGCCAATCTGATAAAAAATTCACTAGTGTTCTGACAGGCACCTTTCTGATACTAATGAATTTAAGGATCTTGTCACATATTTGAGGATGATTTGATGTTGCTGTTATGTATTGTTTAGTTGAACTGACTCATAGCTGACCTCCCCCAACCCCAAGTGAGTTCTCAGAGGCCGTAAATTGCAATAGAGGTGACTGCTTTTCTTTCTCCTTTGAAACAGCTGGTGGATTTAAATAATGTCCCTTTGGGTTAACACAACTGCTATCTTTTAAGGTTTTAGTACTAGGAAAAAGTTTATTAAAGATCTTGTCTGTACTGATCTTAATCACTATTAGTCAGTACATTAAGCTGATTAGGCTTGTTTAATCTCCTTATAGATAAAAATTCTGCTCTACAACCACTAACTGAATTCCTTAGTTCTCCAGGCACCTTGACTGGAGTGTACATATTTAGTCAAATTTGCTGTTCCAAGTGGAAACAAAGTAAAAAGCTCATGTCCTGGTAGCAGTGGGCCCAAGACATTATGTTGTTGTTATTAGGTGCCTCTGAGTCAGGTACAAGATCTGAACCCTGTCCTGTCCTGTGCCGTCCTCATCAGGTATGACACACACTGCTGCAGTCACTGTGTCAATCCATCTCAATGAGGATCTTCTCTCTTTCACTGACCCTCCCCACATTTCAAAGCAGGATATTCCTTTTCCAGAACAGCCTCTCCTTGCAACATGCCAAAAATCCATGAGATGATATTTCAATGTCCTTGCTTCCAAGAAGCACTCTGGCTGGACTTTTCCTAAAGCATATCTGTTTGATTTTTTGACAATACATGGGATATTCAGTGTTCTTCTCCAGCACAACTCAAATGCATGGATTCTTCTTCTGTCATCCTTATTCATTGTCCAGCACAAACGCACAGCAAATGATTGAAAAGACCAAGGCCTCAAATAGGTACACTTTAGTCTTCAAACTGACTTGCTCTTCAGTAATTTGGAGAGATCCCTGACAGTGGACTTGCCAAGCAATATGTCTCCTGATTTCCTGACTGCTGGTACCAAGGATGTTGATTGTGGATCCAAGTAAGTTGAAATTATTGACAATTCAACCTTTCCTCCATTGATCACGATGTTGCCTGTTGGTCCAGGGGTGAAGATCTTTCTCTTCTTGGTGCTGAGATGCAATTCATATTGAAGGATGTAGTCCTTGATCCTCTGTAGTAAATATTTCAAGTCCTCCCCACTTTCAGCAACCAAAGGTATGTCATCTCGCATAATACAGGTTGTTGATGAGTCTTTCCCCAATCCTGATGCTACATTCCTCTTCACAGAATTCACAAGGCATTATACTTAGATATTTAATTCAGTCACTGCTTCAGAGTGTCCCTGCTTGAAGCCCTTGTTCTATGAAAAGTAAAATAAACCTTTGAGGGAACTAATTGTTATTATTTTAATGATGTATGAAATGTAATAATGATACATAATTATTCATTAATACATTGAAATAACTGCTAGAAATAGTTATAGTACTTCTGTAATGTGTTGACTTCATATATGAAACTGCCAGCAAAATCAACAAATCACAATTCTGCATTTAAATGCATCTAATTGGAATCTAAGAAAAATGGTTAATCACATGGCATAAGAATTGGCGGGCAGGGACCTACTGACATCCTAGTACTGAGGATTCCTACATCTAGTATCAAGCAGACAGAACAGGAAGGCCCCCAGCTGAGAGGGAGCCACTGGCCACATAGCCCTCTCTCTGTAGCCCCGTATTCCCTTAGTTTTCATAGCCCACACAACCTCTTATATCATCTTGCATTTAAACAAATGTTCACTGAAGATCCACTTCTTCAATTTCCAGTGTAAGATTACATGTAGCACTCCAAATTCCCCATCACAACTGATGAGTGGAGATGAATTGCTCCCCAAGACGTGGCACCTCTCTGGCAGTTCTAATTCACCAGTCGCTCCATGGACAAAAGATGGGCTATCTCCTCCTATGTGATTTATAGCCTCCAAGAATCCATTAAAGGGTCAGACTGAATTGGTTCTGTCAGTGAGTAAGTGTGAAATAAAACTTTTGGCAAAGACTGCTAGTCTCTACTTGTCTATTTGTCAAAGTTACAGAATCATAGGCAACCTGTCAAACGGAAAAACCCTATTTTTCAACCTTTCTGCAACAAGGTGTGCTCATGACTAAATTTTGCCCCCAAAAAAAATAATATATATATATATAGCAACATGTTGTACTAGACTTCTGGGATTGCTCCTTATTGGTGCAGCCAGGTGAAAAAGTATTTTTGTGTGGGGTTTTTAAAATTTCCTTGCTTTCTCTCTTCTTGTTATGAGGATGCAGATGTGATGGACAGAGATTCATAGATATCCTGGGCCATAAATTGTCCTGGAAGATGTAAATCAACATCAAGGAAGATTAGCAGATAGCAAAAATGGTGCAGCACCAAGAACAAAGACACATACATATGCAGTCTGGAGACACCTACTATTAACCCCTCCTCTGACTGTGGATGGGA